GTAACTTCTAATGTGATTTATTGAATTATGAAATTGCACATTTTTTTATGCTATGGAAAATAATGTAAACACAAACTCGATCCCCATTAATGTGTAAAAGATAGGGGAAATATCTTATGTATCTCTACAAATAAATCACAAATCATATATTGTTTGTCGTAATCAAAAAGGGGGAAATTGTTAACCTATGATTCAATATAGCTCCACTTGTTTTGATTATAACAAACAATACACTTATATTTCTAACAAATCTCATTTCTTGAGTTTTTCATGAATAAATCTTCTTAAACATTCGAAATCTCAAATTGTCATCCGTTAACAAGCTATCAAAAGAGACTCGAAGAGAACATGAATTTTGAATATTAAAGTTTAGAAGTTGTTTATCGAAACTTCAATTTATATGTAAAGATATTAACTCATCAATTTTTAACAAGTACAAAAGCTCAAACCATTTTTTATAATTCATCATTTGCGTAAGAGTGTTTTTGGTATAAAAATATTTTTGGAAAAATGAACATCTTGATGTAGAAAAATTAAATCTATATACTTCGGTCTCGACCAAAATATAAACCGGTCGACCGATCTGCTTGGCCGAAGTGTCAACTGAAACTCCAACGGTTTGAATTTTACAACAGCTATATTCACACTTCGGTCAATCGAAATTGCTCAACCGAAATCTTCTGATTTTCAATTTTTGATCTATAAATAGCCATCTCTTTTACATTCAATTCCACCAACCTACAAGAGCAATCAAAAGAGTTTATTTATTGAAAATCATTGAGCTTACTTAAATATATACTTCATTTCATTTATTACAAAGAATCTCTTAATTGATTAAAACTAGTTTCATCCATTTTCGTCAAGAATTCTACTTTGTAAGAAAATTTCTCAATCTTATCTATTTCTCTATTCTTGAGAAAAGTTTTCTTTGCTCACACTTATATTGAAGTGTAAATCTCTCTTCATAATTAACTTGTATTATTTGCTAAGAGAGATCATTGGTTGAAAACTTTGATACAAAGATACAAACTACTTCATTATCCATCATTCATCAAAGTTTACAACAAAAACACTTGAACTTTACTATTTGCTATCTATTGAAGTGTTATCCTAACTCTCTAAACACTTAACTTGATTATATAATTTGTTAAGAGAGTTCTTTAAATTGTAAAATTATTACTCACATTTTATGTGGTTTCGAGAGCCCTTTGAAAACCCGATCGTTGTTAAGGATATGTGCTCCTTGTTGTAAGTCATAAAGGATAAATGCTCCTTATTGTAAGTCACTTAAGGATAAGTGTTCTTTGTTGTAAGTCACTTAAGGAACGATACTCCTTGATTGTAAGTTACCATTTTAGTGTATTTGGTCTTACTCGTGACAGAGAGTTTGGTAACGGGGATATAGAGCACATTGTGTATCGAACCCCATCAAATTTGCTTGTTATCTTTACATTCATGCACTTTACTTTTAATTGTCATTTATATTGTACCATATCCATAATTGAATTAAATTATTAAATTTGCATATTTATTTCTCGTATTGTACTTTGCATTTATATCTTATGAATTAAATAAGTTTGAGACTAATTGTCGAAAAAGTTTCAGAAACCAATTCATCCCCTCTTAGTTAGTTATTCTTGGGTTATCAAAACGTCTCTTTGTAGCCTTTATGATTTGAATAATTAAGCTAGCAAGAGTTCAAAACGTGGTTCCCTAAAGTCATCTCACTTGGAAGTCATTGACCTAAAACTTGCTACAGAGGTCATTTAGAAAGATTAATGTAGAGATGTCCACACATAAGATTGGTTAAAGAGTATAAAAGTAGGTGCATAAAATAGTAGACACACCACATGACTTAATTAAGCCATAAACACTTGTTTAAGAGGATTTGACTTTTGATAAGAGCTTAGTAACTTTGTTGATTCTTGGAGGTTGAAATAATTAAAAATAAGAAGCCTCCTTTGTTGATACGTTGAACCGCAAACTTGAGAGGATAAGGGGTAGTGATTTGTAAATAAACCCTAGATTATACCCTTGGAAAGATAATGAAAGAAAACAAGTTTCGGGTGTGTGAATCCCATGAGTGAAGAAATGATACATTTTACTTTTAAGGTCGAGGATTGGATCATCTTGTTGAATGTACATTGGTAAACTTAATTCTTTACACACATATGCACACGCATGTTTTGCATTGAATGAGTATGGACTTAATTTTTTCACTATAACTTTGAAGTAGTTTATAGACTGATATAATGTTTTCAATGTTGAGCTATAAAGGCAAGCTAGCTAACTACATCTGTTTTAGGTGACTTTGGTTATTTAAGTGTGTTAGTGTGTCGTTAGTTCTTCTCTTTCGTTTTATGTTTGCTCGAGAATTAGCAAAGAATTATGGGGTGTTTGATGAGTGAGTTTTACTCATTGTTTAATGCCACTTAAATTTGATATTTGGTTGTCTTTGAGCAATTTAGAATGTTTTGATGTGTGTATTTGTGTTGTGTTACAAATTAGGTAAATCGGTGAAACTTGCGAGTTCGGAGCGTAAAAAGGAGCCAAAGTTTATACGAGTGTGGATGGATGGGAAGAGACTTGGAATTAATTTTACAGGATGGAAAGAAAAATAATCAAAACAAGAAGGAGAAGAAACGTTAGAAAATGGGGCGCCTAGCTCCATGACCACGATCGAGAAGAAAAAATTACAAGAAACTGGCGCTGCACACCAGCTACAAATATGAAGTAAGAAATTGGCGTTGCATCGCTAGTGATGATAACATCGCGGTGTCATTGCCAAGAAAGTTTTTTTTTTTTCCAATTTTCTGAATTCTTTTATGGCCCAATCTAATTCATATAAGATTGGAGAATACTGTAAATACAACTCTAAAGATCACTTTGAAGGTTGAATGACGCAAGAGGCAAGGGAACAAGAAATTGTTTGAGAGCAAGAAAGAGAATTCATGCGTCTAATCAGTTTTTTCTAATTTTTTTCTTTTTCATGTTCTTAATACTAAGTTGGATTATATCTTTTCTCTTAATCATGAACTAAATTTTAGAACTAGGGTTTGATGTAACCTACTTGAGACTTGTTTTGATTTTAATATAGTTATTTCTATTAGTTTTTCCATGTGTTTATTTGTGTTGATTTTTTTTGCTTAATGTTTTCAATTACCTAATCAATAATTAAATGATTTGATAATTTAAATTTCAACAATCTAGAGAGAGAAATTTGGGCGTGGTCTAAGAATAACACAACCTAAATTTTAAAGGTTTCGAGAGAAAGCATGAAAATTTTGAAATATGTTCCACTTAAGAACCATGAACGTGAATATTTCTTGATTTTAATTTGGAATAAAGTTATTAAAATAAAAATATAGAGATACCTATTTCACCACTCGAGAGTGAGAATAAAATTAATTTAGGGTTCTTATTTATAAACTTAAGAAAATTGAGAGAAGTAGTTATATAATTTGAGAAACATTGTAGATAGTTTGGTCACTAGGCTTTCTTCTTTGATAACTTTCTCGTATAACTTGCATTGATTTAGTTGAATTTGCCACGACGTCCATTTTTAGATTAGTATAAAAACATTGATTTTAAAATCTGATCTTTTAAATAAAATAGAGCTAAAATAATTATAGTATTAAGTAGAAATTTAATTTTAATCCCCGTAGGTTCGATATCCTTACTTGAACTTGTATTACAAAACTTGACACCGTACACTCACGGTATAATTTACATTGTGGAAAACACGTAACACACCACAACCATAATATGGCAATAAACCATATAATTGGTTCCCACTCAACCGTTTCTATAATTAATTATATTTATTTGTTAACTTGGTGAATGATTTTATTAGATGATATCTGAGCATGTTTGGTAAAACTTTATTATATTATAAACCATGGATATAAAATGTGTGGATAATAAATGGGTAAACGTAGGTAAAATTTATGTGTTTTACGAAATATTTGGATAAAAATAGAGTTTTATCAGCTTATAGACAATGATTAAGCTTTGATGAATATGCACTTTTTATGGAGATGAGACTTGACGTTTGCATTCAATGATGCTTATTATTATTATTATTTTTCTATTTTCATGAATATTATTTTTGGTGTATTTTTGGTGATAGAACTTTGTATTGTAATTTAAATTAATGGATTGAAATTTTTGGTTATGGAACCAAACCAAACATAATCATAACCATTCCGTTGAGTTCTGGTTTAGTTTCATAATTATCGATTAAATAGTTCCATTATAAAATAGTCATTAGTTCTTAGCTTAATTCGATTATCTTTAAAACTAAACTGACGATGCCTACCCTTATATTTGAACATGAAGACCATTTTACGGAAGAAGTTAAAAAAGAAAGAAAATCTCAACTACTATTCTTCCCTGGGAATATCTGCACAAAAATTGAAGACTTTAAATTGAATATTTTAGAGGGGTGGTGTAGAGGAGTGGTAAGATGGTTTTTCTCTTGTTTTTCATTTTTCATTCAATTTTAGTTTATTTAATGATAAGGCCCAAGGGTAAATGAGATTTTGACAAAATATTGGCTTGGAAAGTTAAGGAGAAATGCTAATTGAAAGGTGGGCCCCCACTATTGTGATTGGGCGGTCAGGGGGTTGTCAACCCCCCTCGGTAATCATAGCATTTCTCAAACTTAAGCCGAGGTAAAATCTTTCATAAAGGACTTAGTGCTACTAAAATAAAAAGGTTGATGATGGACATGCTCTATTTTGAAGGTTTGGGACCAAATGAAAACAAATGGTAAATTTGGGGACCTTCACTCTATTTATTTTCCTCTTCGTTTAATGTACTCTTCTTCACCGCCCTTAATCGCCTCACTGTAAGCTTAGAACTAAAATCCTCCTCTTGAGGTTTAAAATTAACAAAAACCCTAATTTTACCCTTCGTGAAAAACCCACCTTATGCAAATCCTACCCACCCACGCACCCATCTTATTCTCATAATTCGTGAATTTTCTTTTCGTCAAGTAAATGACGAAGATTTATGGAACCGGGGTGTATGATTTCCGGCGCCACCGGGTGGCGGAGTATCCGGTGGGCATAGAGGCGCTTCCACAGCAACCGTCCACTCCACAGCTTCCGGAGAATCCTTCGGAGTCGAAACCCGGCTCCAATTTTCCCAGCTCCATTACACTTACTGAGATCCAGCGTGACCGTTTAACGAAAATTGCAGCTGCTAATTGGGCGAAGACTTCGGATGCCGTTTCCAAGGAGCCGTTCAGTGCTGAACTCGTGAAAGAGATTTACTATACGGAGTTAACTGTTAAAGGTGAAGAGATTGTTTACTGTGTGAATTTTGCTGTCTTGTTATTATTGAACTCAAATGAGCCTTGTCGTATACTCAAGTGTTTCTATAGTATGATTTGTGACCCTTCAATGGAAACTTCTCCCTGTATTAGCTTTACCAAATTGCATTAAGCTCCATGTACACTCTCATTTGAATGCATTTCCTTTTCTTTTCTGTCTCATTATAATGCGAAAGAAACTGGAAGTGTTCTTAATCAGTTTCCAAAGGAAATATGGGATTCTCTATGCCAAACTACTTCTGTCCAAGGAACCTCTACTTTTTTCTTTCCTTGGTAATTCCTGGCTCAAGTGATAGTGGAATACCCTTCTTTGAATTTATCGGAACCTGCGTTACTCTTGGTATAAGATCTTGTTGTGTAGCATTGATTATGTCAAAGTCCTAAGATGTTTTTGTTTTGGCCTTAGGCCAATTCCGGGTACTAGTTTGCTCTTCAGCCTTTTCCTGTTTTGCTAACTGCCTCGTAGTGTTTTTCAGAGACAACCTGCTTTATAAGATCCCAAGGATCCATAAACCATACCAAAAGTGTCTCAGCTCCATTGCTCATTACTTTCTATTGCCCCCTGCCCCAATATTTCCCAGAGTTTAAACAACTTTCTCAATGTCTAGGAGCTCCTGTGGGATTGGGATGATGCATGCCCCTTGTTTGATCATTAGGCATTGGACACGAATCTTCAACATGTGAATTAAGTCTAAAGAACCAGGCAATACAATTTACAGGTTGAGTAACAGGGATGCCTCCTATATCCCGTACCACCTTCCAAGCAAGAGTTCCATTGGAACATTTGATAAACAAGTTGCAGAAAGAGTTGGAAAAGATTCCATTACCAACACCTTTCAAATCTTCTGTAGTCTGTAGCTTTCTCCCCAGAAATCTTATATTATAGTAATTTAGAGCATTCTTTCTTAAAATGAACTGCTAAAATTTGTTTCAAAACCGAATTATTAGGTTCTAAACTTTGTCAGTTCAAATCGTGATGCCTAGATATATACCCACAACCTAACCATATCTGAGGAACATGGGATGTACTGACTTGTCTACTTTGTGGTGGCTTTTGAAACAAGCTCCAGTGTGGTTAAAAGTAGACTTGCTACTGCTTGCAGTATTTTATAACTGGTGCTTTAGAAGAATGGTTGCCAATTTGTTAATGGAATTAGATCTATGAAGTCAGATAATAAACCATTAAATGAATGTCAGTGCTATGACTTCCTTTAATAATTAAGAAAAGGTTTTTAGCGTGAACATGTTTTCCCAATCATTTCAGTAGATATGAACCTCTTTCATAGTGTCATTACAAACCAGTTCGGTAGCTATGAACCTGTTTCTTATTCTTAGTTACAAATCAGTTTAGTAGATATGAACCTGTTACATATTCTCGTTTAAACACACATATGCATTGGTTCAATCAAACATAGTTGTTGATTTCCGATTATTGACTTAAAAATTCATGGATGTAGGCGGAAGAAAGCCAGTGCCATTGCAAAGGGTGATGATACTGGAAGTCAGTCAGTACTTAGAGAATTACCTTTTTCCAAACTTTGATCCTGAGACTGCTACATTTGAGCATGTGATGTCAATGATACTTATGATCAATGAGAAGGTATAGAGACAATTCATGTGAAATTAATTTATTTTGTGTGATTATCATTCGGTTGGTAAACAAGTGTGCAAAAGAAAAAAAATGAATTTTATGCCATGGTTTAAATTATTGTTTTTAAGAGAAGATTAGGGCAGGATGATTACTAGATGCTAGGCTACGGATATAAATTAGTTTGCCACATGCATAAGAATGGGCAGTGTTTTATAGAATGTATATATTTGAAAGAGAATAATTTGAACACATTTGCAGAATTATGACAATGATGAGAAACAGGAAATGAAAATCATAAGAAAGGCTATGAAGCTATTAATCTTTTATGCCTGTAATTTTTATTTATTTTAAATGCTTCTTTCTAAAATGATAAAGGTTGTCTTGTTGAGAAATACGTAAACTTATCTAAGCAAGCCTTGTTAGCATTGGAGGGGAGTGTTTTGCAGTGCAAATGAATAATGATTGATCCAGGACTTGAAATTCCTTGGGGAATGTCGGAACGGTGTTATTCTTCAGTTCTTTATTTGAGAACTATAAGCATCAGAATTTCTTGAAACTTGAACGGGCCCCTCTTTTGTGTAACTATGCTGGGTTGCTGAGGCATGTAAAGGAGAAAATGATGCCTTGCAGGTGATGCATAGCTATGGAAAGATATCATGTCCCCTACCTAGATTAGTTGGTTTTACCATTCGTACAGGAAGTCAAGTTCAAATTTTCCATGGCAGTCAGGGTGCAGAGTGAAAACATAGCGAATGAATTAATTATTTTTTTGGAAATTCAGAAGTTCAAAATTTGAAACATTTTTGTTCCTTGTCCTCGGAACTTGCAGTTTCGAGAGAATGTGGCTGCTTGGATATGTTTTTATGATAGGAAGGATGTGTTCAAGGCATTTCTTGAGAAGGTTCTTCGCCTGAGAGAGGTATGTTTCCATGATCTTCCATTAACTATTGGGCCCCATGTTTCCTTCATTCAATTATGACAGTTGTTTTGTTATATAATCTGATGTCCATTGGAGTTTGTTTACAAGATTTTTCACATTCCTTTTTGTTTTTTGTGGAGAAGAGGTTACAGATATTGAAAGCAGAATATTCTAAAGTAATATATGTGTGTGTGTGTGTGTGTGTGTATATGTATGTATGTATGTATATTTTAATTTCTATAATGCAAGGGTGCTTGGGGTTGATATCAGTTGATTGTCTATAACTAGATTTACACTTTATAATATTGTGGCAAATCAAGCACTAAATGAAATCTTGTGATCTCATCACTGTGAAGTTCTACATATTTTGGTTTGTTTTCTTAGTATGCTATTGGCTCCTGCCTTAGTTACATTCTGCTATAGGTACTACCCTTTAGTATTTGGTTTCTGTTGTATTTCAAAATTATTTTTCTGCTCCACTAGCGTTGATGCTTAAAGATATATTATCATCACATGCCTATTACTCTGGTTGACGCTGTGATTCCTTGTATAAAAATGTCAATTCAGTTTATATTATGACGAGTTCTACAAATTTCTGTTATAATTATTGAGGGTGTTTGGTGGAGATTAAAATTAAATTTTTAGTAGATTGTGATAGAAGTTTTTGAAATGTGTGGTCGAAAAGTTGTGGGACCATGAAAGTTGTGGTTGATATTGATTGTTTGACTTTGACTTGGATTAAAATCAGATTTTAATCCGGACCAAACATGGCCATTATTATGGGTTAAGATAACTTGGTCTATCCATTGCCAAAAGATAACTTTCGTCGCCATCTTTCTTTTTATTTTTTTCTTGAAAATCTGGAAATTTATTGAGATTGCTTCATTTACACTGAACTTTGGTTCATTTATTTCGGGTTATGGGAATGTCCCTTGGCCTTGATGCCCATATAAAGGGCATGATGAACATAGAAACATTTTTTAATTTCTATTCTAACGAATTGGATATCTTTTATGAGGAATCAGAGGTATATGGACCTTGATTCTACTGATATCGTTGGGTTGGTTTTGACACGTGCAGTCCATAATCATCTGCTGTGATTCCCTTTCATTGTTAACTTCATTTTGAGGCTTGTGTCATCAGTGTTAAGAGCACTGGATGTTATCTTATTGGCATTTTACTATAAAGCCATATGCATAACTTCAATACAACTTGATAGCAACTGATTTGCGATTCAACAAAACATTGTGTGATGATATATCTGACTTTGTAGGGAAGAAGTCTAACTATTGCAGAGAAAACCAATTATCTACTTTTCATGATCAATGCCTTTCAGGTACTATCCTTTTCTGCTGTATTCTTTGGGTTTATATACTTGGATGTTAGTCAAATATCTCGTTGATTTCTTTCCACCATCACCTGTCTTTCCACACGTCTTGTCACATGAAGTGGTTCAAGGAATTCTCCGTCTGCAAATATCTGAAAAGTCCTTTGCAACTCTTGCATGACCCGTACCAGACAAGTAATATTTAATTATTTAAAGCTCTTTTAGAACTGAAATCATTGAGCCTGGGAAGAAATTATAAATGGTTTAATAGAAACGAGTGGTGGACAAGTGGACATACTTGTGGGTACATTGGAATGTATTGTTGAAAATGAAGTTTGACCGGTTATAAATGATTTTATAAATTTCTCCAAACGGAGGCTAATAAATTATGTGGAGGATTATTTTTCTTAGTAGAGATGATAGTATGATTACCTTCTTTTCTGTTTCCGGGTGAAAATGGGACACACTTCTAAAACCGTAATTCTACTCATTGAATGTTTGTTAAGATTTTTATTTTGGAAATGAAACCCCCAGGGTTTGTTCAAATTTAGAGTTCGCATGATTATTCTACAAGAGCACGCTCTGACGTTTCATTTTTGTTTGCTCTTCTTCCATATTCATCACCCATACGTGTTTATCATAAATGCCTTTACTTNCCCCCCCCCCCCCCATGGATGCACCAAGTTACAACACCCAATTTAATATTAATATTGGCTATTGTGATATAATTCCTAGAACTTTTAAGTTACATGCAATCTCTTAACTAACCAAACTAAAATCAGTCTTGCCACCTCTGCTGCTCGGACTCTTCGAAATAATTGGAGTACCCGTGTTGGACATGACATGGGTATGGGTATGAGATATGTGTCAGATTCTCCAAAATTCAACCGGACACTTCGTTGTTTTTGCTTTTCTTCCTTTTTTTCTTTTCCTTTTCTTCTTTCCCACTTTTGCTCTCTATAAACCTAGCATCGTCGCCAAGAGAGTGGAGAAAGGCGGCGATGCTAGGTTTTACCTTATTTTTCTTCTTTCTTTCCATTTTTTTCCTTCTCTCTCTCTCTATCGGTGGTTTAGAATTTTGTTTGTATAAAATGAAAATGAGTTCCATATAGTGCTACTTAGTGCTCCACTAAGTCTAAATTAAAATCAAGTTCCTCATTTTCTATTTTATATAATATTTAGTAATTTCCATAATTGAAAATTAAACCCCAAAATTCTATTTTATTTGTTTTAATCCCTTATTAAATACCAATTTCCTTCATTGTGAATAATTAATTTTGGTCTATTTAAAATAACATCCTAGATTAGTAAAAAAATTGTAGTTTGAAAGACGTATTCAAGTATTCGTGTCTGAAATTTGAACTCTTTTTAGTTATGTCCTGTATCCTACATTTTAGAAAATAAAAGATCCGACACTTAGATACGTATTCATACCCGTACCCGAGTCCGAACATCATAGCTTGCCACTCTATTCCTGTGTCGCTTGTTATTCTTCCATAATTTAATGTGGGTTAGGGGACAGGAGGATCAAATGTTACTTTTAGATTAATAAAATGATTATTTTGTCTCTTTTCAGAACTTGTAATGGCATGCATATTTTCCAGAAATTTTATTTTTTTCCCACTAAAATTCATATGGATCTGATTGTTTATCCTTCTCCTTCAATTATGCTTGATAGAGCTTAGAAGATGAGATAGTGAGTGAAAGGGTCATGAGATTAGCAAGTCTGGAGTGCTGGCATAGTCTATCATATGGTCGCTTTCAGGTATGCTTTATAATGTTTTAAGTGTTTTTTTTTTGGGGAGGAGTTTGATGTCACTTAGTTTAAGATCTTCTCGTTTGTTCTTATTTTCTCAAAATATTTTTGTCTCCGCCCCTTTTAATCTGTTTATTTCGTTTTGATCCCATGGTTGTAGATGGAACTTTGCCTCAATGAAAACCTTATAAAGAAATGGAGAAGAATTGCCAAAAGAGCCAAGGATGCAACTAAAAGAGGGGAGTCGTTTGATCCCACAACTATGATCGAAGCAAAGTTCTTGCGAAATCTCATTGAAGAGTTTCTAGGGGTATTATGTGCTTGACTAAGCACTTTTGTGATCTGTTTGTTGACTTCTTGTTTGCTAGGCATGTTATTGTTTATTTTGTCCTCTCTATTGTAGGTGCTCGATTCTGAAGTTTTTCCCAAGCAGCAAAATAATGAGGACAATAGTATAGTTGATGCAAATGAGTATGAAGAAGTTGATGATGCCGCTGTCCTGTATTGTGAAAGGTTTATGGAGTTCCTTATTGATCTCTTGAGTCAACTGCCAACTAGGAGGTACTGTTTTGTGGTGAAACTTTTTGGTTTTATCACTAATTCTAGTTAACCCAATTGAGAAAATTTTGGTCATTCCCTGTCTACATCACTCCTATTATAATATCTCTACTCATAAATTTAATTGCTTCAGCGCTTTCATGTGAGTGTGAATGGAAATAATAAATGTGATGCTGTAGGCTGGGGACCTTGAAGTTTTTGAAACAAAAGCATAATTCAGTAATATATGGCTTCTGCACCAGGACGACGACTCTTGGTTAGAAACTAAAGAAAGTTGATGACTTACAAGTCTGATAATTAAGGTCGTGTTTGAGCCCCATTTTTTGAAAGAATATGTTTTGTAATAGTGATTTTTTTTGGAGAATATGGGTTTAGAAAGTGGGAAAAGTTTTGGATTTACTTGTAAAATTATTTTATTGGAAGAATGTGTGGTTGTAAATGAGTTTGGGGAAAAGTGAGTTTTTTTATATAATGGGGCTCAAACAGGAGCTAAATAACCTCTAAAGTAAACTGATACTGTTAATCCATGGTTAAGACGTTCCATGAAATTCTTCAGTTTCTCTCCCCTGCCCCCATGATTTAAAAGTGCTTGCTGTTCCACAAACTTGAGAAGGCTGAATTTTGGATTGTTTGCCTTATTGGTAAATATATGATTTCTAGTGAAGTATATTGCAATAAAGTTGCGCAAGATGATTTCCATTCAACCAAACAATGAATCAATTCATGATATTGGATCCTTCATGAAGTCACACTCACAATTGCATGAAATCATAACTAATCTGTGTTAGAACAAAAACATGGGACATCATATGCTTCTCCTTCAGGCTTCAACAATATGAGTGCTTCTCCTCAATCCTTTCCACACGTGGCTGCATTCTGTTTTGATGGTTTTCTCTCTCTTGGAGAGTCCTACCCACATTTTCTTTCTGCTGGCTATTAAAATATATGTTTTTTTTGTTTGATCTATCTAAAGGATTTCCCCTTATAATGGTGAAACTACTGCTTGTATTTTTCTTGATTGCTTGTGAAATGCTACTAAGATGTGTATGTTTTGTATAGCTACTGCTTATTGTCTCAACTTCTTTTGAACAGGTTGGTTCGGCCTCTAGTTGCTGATGTTGCTGTTATCTCTAAATGTCATTTAAGTGCTCTGTATAGACATGAGAAAGGGAAACTGTTTGCACAGTTGGTGGACTTGCTTCAGTACTATGAATGTTTTGAGATTGATGATCATAAAGGTAGACAAATGACTGATGACGAGGTGCTTCAAGCTCATTACAAACGTCTCCAGGCTTTTCAGCTTCTCACATTTAAGAGAAGTCCACAGGTGTGATGTTTTTGTATAACTTGAAAGAATTAATTTCTTCTCTCTCCCAACCCACTGTCCAGAGAAAAAGGCACAAAAGAGTTGGTGACACTTAACATGACTAGTCATGCTTTGGATGGATAATTTTTGGGGGAACTTTAATATATTTAACTCTCCTTTTTCTCTTTGCAGTTGCGAGAACTTGCATTGGCTAACATTGGCTCGATTAACAGGCGTGCTGACCTATCAAAGAAACTTTCAGTACTTTCTCATGAAGAGCTAAGAGATTTAGTATGTGGAAAGGTCAGTATGGTGGCTAAGATTTTCAGTTTAGGAATACATCCCAATTTTTTTCTTAGAAACATTATTTCAAAAGATTTATTCACTGATGACAGAGAAATCAGGAGACTTCAAACTGTACTGGCCTAGCCTTATTGTTAAATGTCATGAATATCTTTTGGGGAAAGAGATGTTATGTGGATCCTGACTAAATTTTGGGTGAGCTAGCGAAAAGTAGTCACTTCTATACCTTAACTAGGAGCTTGATACGGTTGATATCATTCTTTAGGATGAAGTGTTAGATTGGCCTATTAAGAATGGAAATGCTTCGAGGGGAGGTCACTTTACTAGAAGTTATCTGATAAAGATCAGACTGTTTGTTGGTTTTGTAGATCAAGAATTGCGAAAGTTGGGATGCCTCCATTCTTTCTTCATTTAGTTACTTGACGATAGTGATTTTGTCTTTACAAAATTTAAAACAAAAATGTCTAGGCTTTTTATCAGAATTATTAGTTCGTAACTTTTATTATTTTTCATAGTTAACTGATTCTATAAAAGCTTGGATTAAACTACTTGTACACACAGTGTATACTTTGATTGACACTTCCCTATGTGTCAAGAATTTGACGGTTGGAAAAGGTGTCGGATCAATGTACCAAAATTTGTCAACTCACTCGTGTGTAAATCAATATGTCAACCTTTATGTACATATAGCATGATCCTAAAAGCTTTATTCCTTTTGTTCCATACTTATAGCTTAATTTCCAAAGACTACACTTTTTGTATATTGTCATGACATTCATGATGTTGGCATTTGATTTGCTTGGTTACCATTTGATTTGTACGTTACCTATCCGCCATTCTGAATTGTAATTCTGAAAAATAATTAGTAGTGATTGTGTTCATTCCAAACTGTACGAGATGTTTGACTCTTTGAAATAGAGGGGGCATAGAATTGGAAAGTGTAGCAATACAATGTGACGTTTGAAGGACACATTTCAAAGGTCTTGAAAGTTTGTTCTCTCAGTGAGATTATTGAATTTTTAACATTTGGACTTCGCCGTTTTGTCTCACTGTGTATATCTGAATTGAGGTGAGGGTGCTAAGGGCTTGAGGTGAACAAAAAGAATATGGTTTGAGTTTTTGAGAATCCTGTGTAGGTCTCGAAACAAACTTGTACCAGGCTTGTCCCACTTGAATGTTTTAGTCTTCATTATACTCGGTGGATGGATATGAAAATGTGTTCATGGAACATGACAAGTATGATAAAACTGAAAACTCATGCATGTAGGGAATTCTGATTATTTTGGAACGTCGTAGATACATTGAGATGATGAGTGGAGGAGAATGAGTGTCTATTTGTGTAAGGTATTCAAATTGGTGATTGTCTAGGTAGAAATGGTGTGCTTGACGAGAGTGACATATGTTTACTTATTTGCAAGTCCTCATTTTGGTAAGAGGCTTGGTTCTGTTATCCGTTGATATGATAGGTGGTCATCTAGAAAATGGAAGCAAAATACCAACGCAATCTTAGTAGATTTTGAGGCTGGACCAAGGAAGGTTAATGGGGGTTTAGATTCTCCGACTGACCATTAATAAAATCAAATACACGAGAACAAGAGGAAGGATGCATAAACCTGACGTTCCAAAAGCAAAACAATGTAACATATGAAGGAGTGGAATGAGAGGGGTAGTTTCTACATTGAAAGTGCAAGTGAGAATAAAGCTAACGTCTTCTAATATTAGAAAGTCCATATATGTACTAGAGCTTGAAGTCGTCGTAATAGGTTAAGAGGTCTATACTTCTGATAATGGCATTGATCCTAGCCTTTTAATGCAAGTGAATCGGCAATCTTGTTCCTTCACAATCGGTGTTTGATCTATGTAAGAGTGATTTGAATCGTCTATGGTCTTCCATTCCTAGTGATGTAGTGAGCGCTACAAACGAGTAGTCTTCACCTAAATGTCTGTTAATCCAAGTCATCGAGTAAGTAAAATTCCATCCAAGATAGTTCGTAACTTAACCTCCAGAATACGATAGTTTCTATATGATGATGAGAATGCCCTAATGTCGATCTTTGTTGTATATGTGCCTTATATAGAGTGGAACACAAGTTTACTGAATCAAAATGGCTAATGCTGGAGCGAAGCGGAGTGGAGTAAGGGGAGCGGAGCGCATCGAACGGAATGGAGGCACATTGCTCCTTGTAGATGTAGACACATCGTTGATCCACGTTAAATAATTGTGTTGATTTCTTTATTTCACTTTTCTATTATTTTGCGTTTAACATCCACAATTGGTATCGAAGCTCCAGGTCTAGATGGCAAGTTCTTCGATTGTAAAATTTGATGTGATGAAGTTCGACTGAACTGGAATTTTGGATTATGGTAGCGAAGGTTGAAAGATTTGTTGGCCTAGCAAAGCTGGTGAAGGTGCTATCTGGGAAGAAGCGAGAGGGTATGTCAGATGCCGATTGGGAAGAGCTCTAGGCGCAAGCAATGGGTACAATTCGACTTTATGGACGTTGAGTGTCACGTTATGGACGTTGACTGTCCGGCGGAGGTTTGGCTGAAATTGGAAAGTTGTTATATGTCGAAGTTTCTCACGAACAAGCGACATCTGTAGCAGTGGCTGTACGGGCTTTTAGTATAAATACTGATGATGTAACCATATTATTCATACAAAATAACAATCTCCACTTCGCTCTTTGTGGACGTAGGCACATCGCTGTACCATGTTAAATAGTTGTGTTGATTTCTCTATTCTACTTCTCTATTATTTTGCATTTAACATCCAACAATCCTAGTCTCGAGTAATGCCCTTGCAATAGGAAATCCATCCTTAACACATCTATTGATGCGAATCTTGTAAGATTCCACTGGTACGATATGCTAAAAAAACTAATATAGGGGGTGCTGAGGGAGAAAGAGTCAAAAGAAATACCAAAAAATGGGGCGATAGTCAAATCTCCATGCCAATGAGTAGGTCGAAATAAATGATCCATATGGAGGAGTAAAATCTTGCGTTAGACTCGTCAAAAGATCCGTCTAAGTTCAATGCGTATCTCATTGTGCTTGACATCATTCCTTTCAGTCCATGAGAACTAAAATATCAATAGAGGAATGAAAGCGAATATTTCCCTTACAAATATCTCCATCTCTGGAACTAGGGTCTAAATCCCTCGCTTGATTTTATAGGCATCTAAAAGATACCTTCAAAATGATGCAATACCTGATTAGAAATGGTGTTGCATGTGAAAATGTTTTAACTAGTTTCAATCTTTGAACAACACCAACAATGAGAGATCATATGATAGTCAAATGTTCCTTCGAATGACCATATTAACCGGTAAACCTTGTTACAATCTCCTTCAAGTATAATAGAGCTCCACATCGGTCGATATGAATCCTGATACTGACGACTAGATCGAACTAGCTGCCAGGCTGATTTGATAGTAAAATTACCATCTGATGTATTCCTCCAAATAACCTGATCTGGGACATCTGCCCATAGTGGGATAGCTTCAATATGCTCAACCATAAATGGTGGATGTACTTGTAACAATCGTCCAATATTCCATCCTAAGCCATAATAAAAATCCTGCACACTTGCAAATGGTGTGGGAATAAGGACACCAAAGTAGCCTCGCCCATCCAAGTCATGTCAGAAGATCTGTGATACCCAAGATGTCATGCAATGTATGGCTCTCCTTGTGGCTAAACCAGCTTTGGCCTCTTCTAAATAGGTGAAGTTGAACATAGAACCGCTTCTAATAGAAGGTGAGTTCCCATGTAATATTGACCTAGTAAGAACTGAGCTTCGAATGATCCCGTGAATAGAAAAGCCACCAAAGCTTTTGCGAAAAAGTATAAGACAATATCATGCAATCACCTGGAGCTAGTCCACCTTCATTAGTAGGAAGGCAAAGATGCTTCTATCTCCTTTAGTGTAATCAATGTGCTTGATCCTTAGAGTCCTAAAAGAATCGAACAAATATATTCTTTAATTTCTTTAAGATAACCTTAGGAGGTTGCATAATCTGAAGTGGATAAAGTGGTATAGAGGAAAGAACATAGTTAAATAGTGTGATTTGGTCTCCAAAAGATAAAAGGTGTGAATCCCAAACTGATATTCTATTTGTAACCTTTTGAATAAGGTCATCATATAAGAAAACCTACTTAGCTCCCTTGTATAAAGGGTAATGTAGATTAGTAAATCGCTGCTCTTGATGTTTGAAGCTAGTCGAATGCTCGAATCTTCTGATGTGGCTAATGGATGTCTTTCGATGGAGTATAAGAGCCCGTTTGGTAGAGATTAAAATCGGATTAAAATTGAAAAACTAGCCGTTATTGTTGACTTTTATTAGACGAGTGGGGTCCAATAACGGCTATATTTTCAATTTTAATTGGATTTTAATCGGTACCAAACGGGCTCTAAGTCGACTCTTGTATCTATTCATCAACTAACCAGAAACGCCATCATAATGCTCTAGGCAATCTATTGGATTTTAATCGGTACCAAATGGGCTCTAAGTCGACTCTTGTATCTATTCATCAACTAACCAGAAACGCCATCATAATGCTCTAGGCAATCAAGTAACCTTCGAATATAATATTTATGGTCGGTGAATATATTCGTGTCATCAACAAAAGAAAGATGTGAGACGAGTACTATCTCCATGTCAATAGGCCATGATATGGTAATTATAGAACAACTGTATAAGAGAGTAGTAGTCCATCTATTGGCCATTTCCTTCTTCAGGAGCAAAACAATAAAAGTATCAGCAAAACCCTAGATAGGTGACCTCCAGTATGGCCCTAAACACTTCATCATGTATGATATCTCAATAATGTTGATAGAATAAAGATGAGAAGCTATCTGGGCTAAGCAACATTGTCAATATCAATATTGAATACCACATCTCGTACCTTATGAATCATGGGGGATGGTTATGTGCGAAATTATCCGCTTCAGTTATAAGCTTGGAATAATGTCGGGACTATAGGTTTCATAGGTTGTGGAGCTGATAAAAGATTTGGTAAAAGGAGATAGTCAAGTTCTGAATATTATTAGGAGTAGATGTAACTTTCCCTTACTGGGTCCTAATGGATACGATATTAAATCGAAAGCGGTGCACTTGAACCATCTAGTGTAAGTACTGGGTGTTGTGATCTTCCTTACATACCCATTGTCAAATCAACTATCTATTCTAAAAATCGTCATCAACAGATAAGGTCCGGTTCAGTACCGCGTGTGCTTGATGTAATGGATCATGTTGCTATAGTGTAGGCTCCAAGTTATACTCTGTCTCTGTCTCATCAAATATACAATTACCATCCCTGACCTTATGGGAAGCACAACCAAATATACGTCGATTCTACTAAAGTAATCCTTGTTTTAGCGTGAAGAACTTCTTCCAGAGAGCAGCCATCTCTTTAAGATGGGTAGGGAGTGACCACTTCTGAGAGATGAATAACAGAAAGTGAATGGCAAGATGAAGTTCGATTAAGATGCCTCACTGAAAGCTATTTAACACTATCCAGTCTCTTCCACACACGAACATTGGTATGTCGAGTAAGTTATAGCACCTTTGTTATGTGTGTTGTGTCTCATGTACTCACCATCATGAGCAATAATGTTAAAATCTTCCCAACCAACCACAAGCCATCTACAATGAGGGAAATGTGGTGAAGACCTGTTCACAAGTCCTTCCTACACGAAGGAGAACATGAAACATAAAGATAGGAAAATTGGTTATGCTAGCATGTGGTCCTCAACTCTAACAAATAAGAATTGGGGATGATCGACAAGTACAGTCGTAGTGGTCCTCGTATTCTAGAAACACCAAATCTTATTTAACTTTTTTTTAACCCTCGTATTGAAGCGTAGAAATCGTTAAATAGAGTCAAATCTCTCCTGAAGGTCAATTGGCTCCAAGATCATTAAAAAATAGACCCGATGAAATTAAATAAGTCACTTTAGGCGCCTGCTAGTAGTTGTGTTGAAAGCATCTAAGTAGTAAGTCCACCCCAAGATGAGTGCTCTTCTATTCCGACTTACCTAAATCTTTCGGTAACTACTCTCATTTCTTATAAGGACACTCATAAGGAAGGAGGATGTGAGAAAATATAGAGCCTGGTCGTCATCCTAATGAGATGTGATCAAATATGTTTAATATCTGTCTTCTTATTCTTATTCAGTACTGAATAAAACATCCTCCCCTCTGACAGCCAAACCATCCAAATCAACGGAAGAAATGTAGTATAGGCCATATTGATGAACCTCAATATGCGGAGTAGTCTCTAATGTTTGTACTCTTCGAAATGGATGAAGAACATGTGTCGACACGATAAGAGTATGGGTATGAGATGTGTTGGATCCTCCAAGTTTGAATTGGACACTTCACTATTTGTGCTTTCTCGTTTCTGCTCTCTGTAAACTTAGTGTCGTCGTTGAGAGGGTGGCGAAAGGCGACAGCGCTATGTTTTCCCTTCTTTTTCTTCTTTCTTTTTTCTTTCCAGTTTCTTTTTTTTCCCTTCTTTCCCTCTCCGTGTGGATGGTTTATGGTTTTTTTGTATAAAATGAAAATAAGTTTCATATTGTGCTACTTAGTGTTCAAATTACAATCAAATCCCTAATTTTTTATTTTATATAACATTTAGAGCTTGTTTGGGAGAGATTTTTGGGGGAAGAATTGATTTTAAATAGTGATATGATAGGAAATGTGTGGTTGAAAAAGAAGAAAAAATTATTGATGTGATAGAAAATATTATTTTATTGAAGAATGTGTGGTTGAAAATGAGAATTAATTTACTACCACACATTTTGTGAAAAGAATTGATTTTTGAATAGTGATATGATGGGAAATGTGTGGTTGAAAAAGAAGAAAAAATTATTGATGTGATGGAAAATATTATTTTATTGAAGAATGTGTGGCTGAAAATGAGAATTGATTTACTTTAGAAAAATTTAATCATTCCCAATCAGGGCCTTCGTAATTAACTTCTCATAATTGAAAACTAAACTCCAAAATTTTATTTTATTCATCTTAGTCCGTTATTCAATACCCTTTTTTTTGTTAACAATCGATTTTGGTCTATTTAAAATGACATCACGGGTTAGTAAAAAAATTGAAGTTTGAAAGATGTACTTGTGTACCCATGTCCAAAATTTAGACTCTTTAGCAATGTCCCCGTATTCTATATTTTAGAAAATAAAAGATCCAACACTTAGATACGTACTCGTACTTGATACCTATACCCGAATCCGAGCATCATAGCTTTTAGTACGAGTACCATCGGATGTAATAGATGGAACATATGCCTCTACATTCTCATGACAAATAGGAGGTAGAATAGGAGGACCATCAATAATAATCTCCTCGTTAGAGACTGGTAACTGCAATCTCTGCATAATCAAGCAATGGGTCATACATAACCGATGGTGTAGGAACTACTGAAATAGGTATAGGATTTGTAGTCGGAGTGGTAATAATAATTGGGGTGCCACAGGAGGAGCTGATGTTTGAATATGTATCCCAAATGAACTAGTCAAATGTTGTCTTCTAGATGCTCGAGAGATTGGCACCCACTACTTCGGAGGTTCAACAATTACCTCATTTGCCTTAACCTTAACCTTATCTGTGCTTTAGAGTAGGGTCCACATTTGAAAGGGGAGTAGGAGGCGGAGCTTCCCATCCAAACGATATTCATCATAATGTCTCAAGTGTCTACATTGAAAATAATATACTAGCTTCTTGTCATATGAAGAAAATCTACGAGTAACCTCTAATCTATCACGAAGCTTAAATTCAATATGACCTCAATATAAACTCAAGTCTCACTAGGCCATCACAAGTCTAAAGTAGCCTCATCAATACGGAGTAGGACCCCAATGGCCCTAGCTAGTGCAAATAAGAAGCTCGTGGCATGAAAATGTATCGGCAATGGGAAAGAAACCTGGGGGCGGGGGGTATCATGCTCATGGTTAAATCTAAGTGTCCACTTAATAATCCGCATGGACACCCATCAATATACAATGAGAGCTTCAGGAATAAGCAATTATAATCATCCTCATGAGATAAATGAATAAGTATATGCTTGGCATCAATCAATCCTAGCATTAAGTCATCGTGAAAGCCAAATTTCTTGAAACTTTCACGTATTGTAGAACACTTGCGGCGAGTGAATTTGCCAACAAGTGTGTACTTGTATAGCTTAGAAAGAATAACCTCTTCCTCCTCAGATACTGTAATATCCGACTCACCCATATGAATATAAGGTTCCTTAGCAACGAAGCTGTGATCAGTGGAATCGTGTGTGGCCTGAAGAACAGATGCAAAAGATGTCTTCAGCTACACTCAGCTTGAGAGATAGTGGGTTTAGTTGATAATGCGACAGCATAAGATTTATACCCCTAATTTTGTGCATTCTAAGCAAAAGATTAAGTAGGTGGTCGTGAAACCTCGGGAGTTGCAGATTGGACATGTGGAGTAGGCTGATTAGGCACTTGAGGTTCATGCGCTAGCGCACCATCCGCCTCACGTACACTACACGCGTGGGTGTTCGAGGGCCACATACAGTAGCTGGTGGCTCTTCTGGTGGTGCTGGCCGTTGCAGGTGGCGTTGGCACTAGGGGCAGCACCTAGGGCTGTCATGGGTGAGGGCTTAGTGGCCTTTTGGGCCACTGCTTGATGATGTGAGGTGAATAGAGGTTATAGGGTTGGTCGCCGATGCTAGGGCGGCGCCGGTGGAGGCCGGATCAGGGGGTGGGCCAGGGTTGCAGGGGTGGTTGCCACATTCAGTCATGTATGAGAGAGAGAGAGAGAGAGAGAGAGAGAGAGAGAGAGAGCGAGCATATCTGCAATGTACTGGGCTGGAAGTTCAAATACTAAATATGAGTAGATTGTTCAATTTTACCACATTATATGTTATTACATGATAGAATTCTTGCATTGAGTTGGCTTCATATTGTTTTGTAACACTTATTCTCATATTGTGTGGGCAGTGTTTGGGTTCTTTATGATTGCATAGTCGTAATACTGTCCCTTGTGCTGAGAAGCTTGTCAAAAAATTCTGTTATATAAGCTTGTCCAATTTTAGTTTTTAATCATTTTGACTGGTACAGATGTTTATAAATGCCACATGAAAATGAAATCACAAAGCAAGAAGCTGCTTGTAAAAAAATATGATGATTGGAAAGACTCAAATGCAGAAATAGAACTGATTAAGGCCTTGTATGGGAGGGATTAAAATCGGATTAAAACTGAAAATATAGCCGTTATTGTTGACTTTTATTAGACGAGTGGGACCCAATAACGACCATATTTTCAATTTTAATTGGATTTTAATCCCTACCGAACGGGGCCTAAATTGGTCAAGCTGATTTTGATAAAATTTAAGGTTTTAAATTGAATTTCAGTAATTTTGCATCTGATCTGCCTTACCGTTTCTCACCTCATATAAACGTCCCAACACTTCTATAACTCTAGTTAGCGTTAAAGGAGGAACTAGGGAACCTTGTAAATTGTGTAAATAACAAAAAGGAAATCTACGAAGGAAGTTCTCTAACCCTGCTCCTCGTCACTGCTTTTCCTGAGATCTGCCCAATGATGGTGCATTTAGTATTTTGTAATTATCACGCTTATATGATGATGTTGTAAATGCTAACTCAACGTGTTCTGTTATGTCTGCAATTGCAGCTCAAACTCGTGTCAAAGGATGATCCATGGTCAGAAAGAGTTGACTTCTTAATTGAAGTCATGGTTTCCTTCTTTGAGAAACAACAGTCTCAGAAAGAGGCAATAAATGCACTTCCACTATATCCAAATGAGCAAATAATGTGGGACGAAAGTCTTGTACCTAGCATCAACTACTCCGGGGAAGGATGTCTGGCACTTCCGAAGCTTAATTTGCAGTTTTTAACACTTCATGATTACCTTCTTAGAAATTTCAATCTCTTCCGCCTCGAATCAACATACGAAATCCGTGAGGATATTCAAGAAGCTGTGCCACACCTTCTTGCTTACATTAATAATGAAGGAGAAACTGCTTTTCGTGGTTGGTCAAGAATGGCTGTACCAATTAAGGAATTTAAGATTACAGAGGTAAAGCAGCCAAATATTGGGGAAGTAAAGCCATCAGCTGTTACAGCTGAAGTTACTTTCAGCATTTCTAGTTATAGAGCACAAATGAGATCAGAATGGAATGCCCTCAAGGAGCACGATGTTCTATTTTTGCTGTCTGTTCGTTCTTCATTTGAGCCACTAAGTGAAGAAGAAGCAGCCAAGGCAACTGTTCCCCAGAGGCTTGGTCTTCAATGTGTACGTGGATGTGAAATTATTGAAATACGTGATGAGGAAGGATCTCTCATGAATGATTTCACTGGGAGAATCAAGCGTGATGAGTGGAAGCCTCCCAAAGGAGAACTGAGAACTGTGACGGTTGCCCTGGATACAGCACAATATCATATGGATGTTAGTAATATTGCAGAGAAGGGTGCAGATGATGTGTATGGTACATTCAACATATTGATGAGACGGAAACCCAAGGAGAACAATTTCAAAGCTATTTTGGAATCCATAAGGGATCTAATGAATGAAACTTGTATTGTTCCTGATTGGTTACATGACATATTTTTGGGGTATGGGAATCCTTCAGCGGCGCAATGGGTTAATATGCCCGACCTTCTTGAAACAGTAGATTTTAAAGATACCTTCCTTGATGCTGCTCACGTGACAGAATGTTTTTCAAATTTTGAGGTTTACGTCTCTCCCCTTCACATGATTTGGCATTAATCTATTGCAGTGCAGTGGTAATGTGTTAATTGGACTATAATACATATCCATACTATTGTCTTTGTTGTTGTTTCCAGGTTTGCTTTATAAATTCAGATGGCACTGAAAGCTTGCATCCATCTCCTCCCTTCCGTATTAGGTTTCCCAAGAATCTCAAAGGCAATATCCATGTTCTTCCTGGCTATGAAAAGTCTACAGTTACTTCAGATTCTGAAGCCAGTATTCCAGATGATCAGTCTGATAAAGAAAAGCTACTGGTTGAGGCTTATGTTCCTCCTGATCCAGGCCCATATCCCCAAGATCAGCCGAAGCAGAATTCTGTCCGATTTACTCCGACTCAGGTTCATGGAACTTTAATAATTTGCAATGTTGGTGAAAGGATCTTTTTCATTGCCATTTTCATAATTTGCTGTCTCCATCTCTGTGTATATAAGTGATGGATAATTTGTTCTTTTTTCCCTTGTTTTGATTATCTGTCTGATTCAATTATTTTTGAAGGTAGGAAAAAATTTCAAATATTTAAATTGCACATGGTTTCTCAAGAATTTAAAATTGAACCTGGTATTCTCAATGTGTATCTGTGAAGAGGATGCCAACATGGAACACTTCTATCATGTCTATATTAATTCAAACATCCATCACGAATCTCTAAACCAATTTTCTCCAACAATCAATCTCCTGTACTGCTTTCCTTTTTGTGGTCATACTTTTTAACTTTTTCCAAGTGAACCAAGTGATGCAAACTACCGCTGTGGTCCCCCCGCCCCCCCAACAAAGATGTGGAAACGCGCGCGCGCACACACACACTCTCACAGAAGGGGTAAAAAAGGGTCAGGTGTATGTGACCTCATTTTCCAGCTAAAATAGGGAATGAAACACTCTTGTCATGCTTATGTTTTGAGAAATAATACTTGCTCATATACACTTTGTCATGCTAATGTTACATGCTCATATACTCTCGCGTTTTTAGATGACTTGAATTTGCTTTGCAAGCCTTTTACTGACTCTAGTCATGTTCTGCTTATATTGTGTGGGGTTAGCCTTTTTCATTTTTCTTATCAGATATTATTTAATTGATAACAAGTTTCTAGGATATAGTGAAACTAATAGCAGATTTATATTGCATTCTACTAAAACTTAATTGTGAAACCGTAAAGTCTTTAGCTTTTAGGAGCATTCCAGGAGAATAGATTATATTCTGGGATGACATGCTAATACTGCTTGCATCGTTTGCTAACTTGCAAAAGAAAATAATTCCAATGAGATTATGCATATCAGAGTTTTCCGAGGAATTGCATATTGTTTCATATCATTTAATGTAGTTAACTGCAATGCTTTATGATTCTTAAGAAATAGCAGTATACCAATTGTCTGCATGCAATTTTGTTAAACTTCTAATTTGTGCTCTTTTGCTAAGCAGATTGGAGCCATCATTTCAGGCATTCAGCCTGGACTGACCATGGTGGTAGGTCCACCTGGTACAGGAAAGACAGATACTGCTGTGCAAATTTTGAATGTGCTTTATCATAACTGCCCTTCTCAGAGAACTTTGATAATTACTCATTCAAATCAGGCATTAAATGATCTCTTTGAAAAGATAATGGAGGTAAGAGATTTCTTGCAGATCATATTTCTTTTCGGCAATAATTATATTATAATTGCTCTGATTCATTTTAGAAGGTAACTTTTACTTGACACTTATTTTTCTGATTTTTGATTAAAGTGTTTAATTCATGTTATCGTGATTTCAGAGGGATGTGCCAGCTCGCTATCTTCTTCGTCTTGGTCAAGGTGAACAAGAACTGGCAACTGAGCTCGACTTCAGTCGCCAAGGCCGTGTGAATGCAATGCTTGTTCGGCGTCTTGAACTTCTTAGTGAAGTGGAACGCCTTGCAAGATCTCTCCAACTGCCTGAGGATGTAGGATACACTTGTGAAACTGCTGGATACTTTTGGTTGCTTCATGTATATTCACGCTGGGAACGATTTTTGGCTGATTGCGCTGTAAATAAAGATAAACCAACATGTGTTCAGGACCGCTTTCCCTTTAAGGAGTTTTTTGCTAATACTCCCAAGCCAGTTTTTACAGGCCAGTCCTTTGAAAAAGACATGCGTGCAGCCAAGGGGTGCTTCCGTCACCTGAAAACTATGTTTGGAGAACTTGAAGAGTGTAGGGCATTTGAATTGCTCAAGTCAACAGTTGATCGATCAAATTACCTGATGACGAAACAGGCAAAAATAGTGGCAATGACTTGTACCCATGCAGCTCTTAAAAGGAAGGATTTTCTGAATTTAGGCTTCAAATATGACAACTTGTTGATGGAAGAAAGTGCTCAAATTTTGGAGATTGAAACTTTCATCCCCATGTTGCTCCAAAGGCAGGAAGATGGCTATGCTCGGCTTAAACGCTGCATATTGATTGGTGACCATCATCAATTGCCTCCAGTTGTTAAAAATATGGCTTTTCAGAAGTATAGCCACATGGATCAAAGTCTATTCACAAGATTTGTGCGTCTTGGAATTCCTTATATTGAGCTCAATGCCCAGGGTAGAGCTAGGCCCAGTTTAGCTAGACTTTACAACTGGAGATACAGAGACCTTGGGGATCTTCCATTTGTGAGGGAGAATGATGTCTTCCACAGAGCAAATGCTGGATTCTCTTATGACTATCAATTGGTTGATGTTCCTGACTACCATGGGAAAGGTGAGACTGCACCTTCTCCATGGTTCTATCAAAATGAAGGAGAAGCTGAATATGTAGTTAGTGTCTACATGTACATGCGTTTACTTGGGTACCCAGCTAACAAAATATCCATATTGACAACATACAATGGTCAGAAACTTTTGATTCGTGACGTTATTAACAGAAGGTGTCTCCCTTATGACTTCATTGGTCCACCACACAAGGCAAGTTATCCTATCCTTTTTGCTCCTTGCAAATGCTGGAATGATCAGCTTCTCGAAAATGTGGCTTCATGTTTCTTTGTAGTTTCATAGTATCATCTCTGGAATCTTAGTGGTTTCTTTTTCATATTCCTCATACTTGTCAAATATGATTCCTCTTCCTTCAATGTTGTAGAGAATTACATAGAACATGCAAGATCATAAAGTAAATTATATTCAAGGGTTACTTAATGAATTTTGAGTAGGTGATAGGTTAGAATATATACCACATTGATCAATCTGGGTATGTCTTATAAGTATGTGCAACTCCGAATTTCTTTTTTTGCCTTTGTTTTTATCTGATGCTTACAGTGGTGGAGCCATAGTTTTGGGTTTGGGGTGGCAGGCCAAATGGATATGTAAAAAAGATAGACTACGCAAATGAAAACTAAAAATGGGTTACTGAAAAGTTCTATGTTAAAAGGTTGAGGACGTGTTTTCTATAGGTATTAAAGCCTAAGGACTAATTCTGCAGATTTTTCATTTAAAAAAAAAAGAAGGAAAGTTGATTGTATGGCTGCTGGGATTAGAACCCAATTTGTTTTGAGCCACAAAATGAAGCCATTACCACTAAGCTATGCACATATCCAGGTCAATAAATTAAAATTTTAATAATTTAAAATATATGCTATATATTATAGGGAAATTTTTTTTTTTTAAAAAATGTTGTTGGGGAAGTTGCCTTCGCCCCCCGCCCCTTTATCCTTGGATGCATAGGCTAATTGGTAGGATCAATATGAAGATGAGGTGAATGAGAAATTAATCACTCAATTAGCACCCAGTAGTCTCCATTACTTCAGTACCAATAGTAAAAGAGGCAATAGAGAACAGCTAATTTCCTCTTGCTATGGACATGGATTTAGGTCATAAATGTTGTACGTGAATTGTCAAATTTTAAGAGACCATTGGGATCTTTGTGTTGCACTTTTTATGTGATCATAGACCCAATCCAATCACTTGACAGGCTAAATGGTCTAGTGATGACTTGCTGAAAGACTGAAAGTTGCTTGGAGGGTTTTGCATATTCATTACAGGGATGGAATGTGCAGTTGTCTTATGATCCCCATTCCTCTTTATAGTCTTATTCTGGTGCTTTTTGTGCGTTTTATAATTGGTTGCATCTATGTTTTTAATTGTAGGTTGCAACTGTTGACAAATTTCAAGGACAGCAAAATGATTACATCTTAATATCTCTTGTTCGTACTCGCTTTGTGGGACACCTGCGTGATGTCAGAAGATTGGTTGTTGCAATGTCACGTGCTCGATTGGGTTTATATGTTTTTTGTAGACGCTCTCTTTTTGAACAATGCTATGAACTTCAACCTACATTTCAACTTCTTCTTCAGAGACCCGATCTTCTCGCTCTAAATCTAAACGAAGTGACAACATTCACGGATCGTCGCTTTGAAGACACTGGACAAAGCCAACTTGTTAGTGGCATTGAGGAGATGGCTAACATCGTCAATTATAAGATGCATCAGGTCTATGAGGTATCCTCTTTGGACCATGTACTCCATATTATCTTTTATGTTTGATATCTTTCTGTTTCTTGCCTCCTTGTTTGCCTTTCCTGAAGATTGCTGAAATCTTAAATGTCTTAACAATGGTCCTATGTCTTAATCCTGGTTATCAATCCCCACTTCTCCAGTCACCTGAATGCTAAAATGTATACATCTGGTTATGGAGTTTCCTGCTTGCTTAAAATGTAACTTTTTCCTTCTATTAGGCTGATTGAGGACGTTCTAATTTATTTACTGCTTTGAAGCAGCGTAATCTTTTATATCCTTTGTATATTAACACATATTTCAGATGACTTTTTATTGCTCATCTTTCTTTCGTTTCTTTACCTTAAAACCAATCCAGGTTTACTTTTCTTGAAGTCATAATTTTAATATTCTTTTTCAATGGAATCACACAACTTGCTGGACTTGTGATTGTTTTAGGTGTTTTGGCTGTTAGATGGTTTGCTCAGTTCATCAACTTAAATTTTTCTTTTTTTGGGGGAAAAATTAAAATAAACTCAACCCAACTATAATTGCATCTCTCTCTCTCTCTCTCTCATCAATTATTACTGTTGGTACCATTATCTACAGGATTTCATAAATTCACTCATTAATGAACTAACTTTTTTCTTTTGGAATTTCAGGCACGGATAATGAGTCAACAACTGAATGCTTATTTAGAACCGGTCCCCATGACTATAGATGCATCTGAGGAAAATGGCCTACAGAATCCGGAGACCTCAGTTCACACTATGGACGATGACAATCTCACCTTGGCAAATGGTGCTGATGAGGATATGCCACCTAGTGGAAAATCGAAAGAATCAACACAACCAGAAGCTTCTACAAATGGGAACATAGATATGCCACTTCAGAATAATTTAAATGTAGAAACTGATGTTGAATTGCAAGGCGACGATATAAATGGAGGGGCACTTGAAAACAGTACAAATGATGAGAGCAAGATGGAGGACTAATCAACTGAACTCCCTTTCCTGACATCGGAAAGCTAGTTCATGAAATTGTTGTGGTTATTGCAGTTTTACCTTATACGTCGCCATCTCTGCATGTTTTTCTGTTTAAATGGTTCATCATCTGCAGGACTCGACTCAATGTAGCTGGAGTTTTGTGCAAGTCCTGTAGACATTCAACGTCCAAAAGTATAAAGCTAATATTTGAACCCACAAATGTAAGCGCTGCATCCTTCCTCACTGTCATACAGGCTATTAAGAATTAAGTTCCAATGTAAAACACGAATTGGGAAAGCTAATGTGCAAACGATCCATGTAGCGGACAGATATTATCATGTTTGCTGAAAGATATTTGCAATATTGTGAAATGGGAACTGTTGGAAGTTATATATATGTACACTAAGCTGAAGAGGTACTATGCTATTTTGTTTCTGGAGATTTATATGAATCCATCAATTCGGTATGAACTTCAAGTATATCTACTCTTCAAATTTTAAAAATTGTTTATGCCTTGTAATTCGGGGACCATCAGAGAGTTGATTTGGTGTTTGCAGTTGTATATCAAATTCACCTAGGGAAGGGCATGATATGAACACTTCATCTTCTCAGCTTCTTTGATTGATTATTTATCTGGAAGCTCCCTATGTGATCCATTGTCTGTATATATTGTCACGATCTTTTTGCAGCCTTCCAATGCATTTTTGTCTATAATTGCAATACATATATGGTTATTTTTGATTTCCATCTAAGTATAGGAACCCATATAGCATGTTTGGTACGCGGTAATGGGACTAATGGAGATGAGACCATTTTGGGAGATGGTGATAGGGGTTGCTAGCGATTCTATCTATTGTACTCTCTTCTACAGAAGCTGACGCATTTACGACTCTTGCTTGTCAACTTTTGTGCATCTGCATTGAAGGATCATAGGCACGATTAGTTTCGACCTTCGAATATGTAAGAAAAATATCCGAGCTTAAATGGTCACAAGCTACTTCAAATGTTGAACATCCTTTTTTTACTCTTGAAGGGTGCAAATCGAATCGATATGAACACAAAATGCTTATCTTTGACTCTCGAGCTTCCCAAATCACTAGCTTGGGTCGTTTTTGCCTTTTGCCATGAGAAAGAAGCCTCCTAGCATTTAAGGATTGTGAACTAAAACTTCTCTTCTTGGGCTTTATTATACACTCCTGTAAATCATGGTACTATCAATGATAACTCTTCAATTTCCGGCTTCAAGAATTTGAACCGTTCGAGTTTTGCTTATACTCATTAGTCAGAAGAAAGATCTCTTTGAAAATATGATTTGAGCTCTACCTAGCCACTCTGAAAGGAGGGAGCATGTAAAATAAAATTAATAAGATACGAGTGCTATCTTAAAAGGTTAATCTTGTTAAAAGTAATTTAAACTCGTATATGTTGGTTTACATTTCAGTATATAGTAGATATAATATTGATATCTTAACACAAATGAAGAAACTGGTACCCTCCCAATTAATTATGCTCGAAACATCCGTTTTAGATTTAAGATTCCACATCGGATGAGTTCTAGCACCCTTTGATTCGGCCAAAGAAGCCTATACAGCTTAGTGCCTTAGTTTAGTACTCAATTGATGGAGGTTAGAGTTGTTCTACGGGAGACGTCATAAGAAAAGGTCATAAAGAAACACAAGGAGTGTCCTCCCTTGATAGTAGCTTCGCCTGGACCAACCAATGAAAAGAATGACGGGCGGCTTAGGTCACAAGCTTAAGGCCTAGAAGCCATCATTACCTCGTCACAGTAGGCACCGCCAACGAATAGAATTTCACCAAAACAGGTGGTGACATAAGGTCCTAGGTCAGAATTCTATACCTCCACATAACTAAGGCTAGTTTCACTTCAGTTGCTATTTAAAGGGACGAGGGTGGATGAGAAAAAGTGGGATTCTGAACCGATATTTTTCTGTTTAGTTGTAATAGTTAGCATTATAACACTCATTAGTTCAAATCCATAAAAGTCAATCAAAGAATGCCACGTCATTATTTAACATCAACGAGATAAAAGGGGATCTAACTAAGAGTCTACGAGAAGACGTGTAGTCTTATAAATGACTACTTTGGTAGCGACAAGTAAACTAGATATAAAAATGGTGACTAGGGTGGCTATTTTCATTATGATCATATAATTTCAAAATTTCAACGGATATATGATCATATAATTTCATGATTGTTATTTTTGTCCAGAAACAAGTCCCACAAAAATATCCCAGTATTTCTTATTGAAGGGAATAGTTGGCACAATGATGCAACAACCCAATGGGCTGAAATTGTTGGCCCAATTAACTGAATAAATTGGTTTATTATTTGGTGCAAAATCATGTGCTGATTGAATGAAGAAGTCGTGTTTCTACTTACCCTGTTGTTGGACGGTCAGGATGTAGTCAAGAGCAATCACCACAGCCGTTGGATGAAAGGGCACTTCTGGAGACTCTTATAAAAGGCTCGTCTAGGGTTTGGACAGTAGACTCTTTGATTTCTTTCTCTCTCGATGGTTCTGCGCCGTTCGAGTCTCTTCTCTCAATATTCTGTTGAAATCAAAATTACTCTTTTGATTTCTTTGTTCTCTCGAAAAGATTTGTAATCTTGTGTGATTCTTCTTTTAGTTGAGGGTGTTGTTCTTGAGTGAACTGCTGTGGGTTGAGGGGTGAGATCTTGTGTGAAAAACGGGTTTAGTCTGAGTGCTTAAACTCTTTGTAATCCATACCTTGGCTGTGGTTTATGTTCGAATGGTTGTTATTCAGTGATTGAGACATTGACTGTATAAACTACCTGTGAATCTTTGAGAATAAAGATAAGTGTTCATTTACAGTTTATGTTTTCTTGTGTTCGGTTTTCTTTACTGCACTTATTTTTCAGTGTTTGTTGTTGTTACATTTTAGCATATATTTTGTTGATCTTGTAAGCTAATCATTAACCTCCTCCCAACACTTATTCTCGAGATCCTCCGTATTTTAGGATCGAGACCCCGAGTAACCGCTAAAGGCGTAAGGTCAGAAATGATTCCATGGAGATAGAGAATCCCCAACTAATAGCAGTATGTGAGGCCATAGACCTCTTTACCAATGCAGTAGACAGATCAAGCAAAATCAAATGACCACCAAACTACTTGTTGGAAATTGAAGTGGAATCTCCTGATCAAGACATAGGCATCCGGTTGTTGAGTTTGTTGGCGAAATTCATTGTTAAAGAATCTTTCTAGTTATCCATAGTACTTATTAAAAGGAAAGATGTTCCGAAGGTTGTTAATCAGCCTCACCTTTCGAATGAACTTTCAGTTCCCAGGAGAAGAGTCCTCCAGAAGCAAAACAGGCAGCACTAGACGGATGCCCTGTAAGGAGCTCGAAATTTGGATGAGCGAGAAATGTGTTTGACCACCTGGGATTGAATGACTTATGAGGTAGATCGGACCTTGTCCAACATAAGCCTGCTTCCAGAACAAGGGGAACGACGAGAGGTAGATCGATTAAAAAGTTCATAAACATCCTAACAGACTATACAATAGAAAGAATATTATTCTACCTAACCATATGCAATTTACACGAGCTGGCAGGACACATGGCTTGATAAACATGCCGCCTTATGATATGTGTACATATCTTGCTGATAACCAAACTGTTGCTGATGGTTTAGCTGATAAGCGTGGCTGCTGATATGTTGCACTATGCATTTCAACAGCCCCCCTCAAGATAGAAAATAGATGTTTTCTATTCCCATCTTGGACAAATGAGACTTCAAAGTAATAGAAGAGAGTGCTTTGGTGAATATGTTTGCAAGCTGTGATTGAGTATGAATGCAAGATGTGGAAATGTGTCCAGCTTCGATCTGATCTCTGATTAAGTGGCAAGCCAGCTCGATATATTTAGTTCTTTCATGAAACACGGAGTTGGAGGCAATGTGCAATGCTGCTTGGTTGTCCCAATATAAGTTGATTGGTTGGGGATGATGAATTTGAAGATCCTTTGTAATGTATTTTAACTATGTAATTTCGCAACAAGTTCTGGTCATTGACCTGTATTCTGATTCAGCAGATGATCGAGACACCGCACTTTACTTCTTGGACTTCCAAGAGATCAATGAATCTCCAAGAAAAATACAATAACCAGCGACTGACCTTCTTGAGTTAGGGCATGCTGCCCAATCAGAGTCACAAAATGCTCGTAGAGTTAATGAGGATGAAGATAGAAATATGAGACCTTGTCCTGGTGCCAACTTGAGGTATCTAATCACTTTGTGAGCTGCTGCAAGATGTGTGAAAGAAGGGGCTTCCATGTATTGGCTAAGATTCTAAATGGCATAATATATATCAGGTCTAGTTAAAGATAAATACATCAACTTTCCAATCAATTTTCTGTAAATTGTGGGATCTAGTAATGGTTTTCCTGTGTCCTTTCCTAATTTTAGATTTTGGTCCATAGGCAATTTAACTGGTTTAGCCCCAAGTAATCCTGCATCAGCTAACAAGTCCAAGGTATATTTACGTTGGGAGATGACAATTCCCCTATTTGATCTTGCAACTTCAAGGCCAAGAAAATATTTTAAATCACCTAATGCCTTAATTTTGAACCTGCTACTGAGAAACCTTTACACTGTGTCTATTTGCTTCAAATTGGAGCCTGCTATGAAAATGTCATCTATATAGACAAGCAAGGCTGTAAAGGAACGATTTGTTGCCATGGTGAAAAGGCCGTAGTCACCTTTTGACTGAGAGAAACCAAATTCTACAAGTGATGCAGAAAATGTGGAGTACCATTGCCTTGAGGCTTGCTTCAAGCAGTATATGCTCTTTAACAACTTACAGACCTGGTTAGGGATTCCTGTTGTGTAGCCTGGAGGTTTTGCATATAGACCTCTTCATGTAAAACTCCATGTAAGAAAGCATTACTTACATCAAATTGTTTCAGGTGTCAATTCTGAATTGCTACTACAGCCAATAAGCATCGAACAGTTACAAGTTTTGCAACAGG